TGGTAAACATGTTTTTGAATATCGTCTACCTTGATCAACAAGCTAAACATAGTGTACCTCATAGGATGCCTCACCCCCAAATATAAGCACCTGCTATGAACTCGAGATGTAAATAGCTCAAAAGTGGCAAACTTGCTTATGTAAAATGTAATTTGTAAATAACAGATGGCACTTATTTACTAGAAATGGGAGGCAGTGATGAGAATGAAGTCATCTGGAACCAAAAGAATGAAAAATGTATCAAAACTGTCCAGGTCCCCAGTTAGGATGAAACTCACTAGCATGCTACCAAACTCACAACCCAGTACCAATCTCCCTGTCTCTCTGTGCCCAGCGTAGGCTGTGGTCCATGGCGTGCTTACCACAAGGCGACTCCAACAGGTTGAGGCCTCGATGGCAGCCAAGAAAGAGAGGGAGGCAGTGTATGTCTTCTGTTCCTGTTAGCTCTCAAGGTGATTGATTTTAGCTTTTGAAGAATGATAAATAGGATTGTGTGCAGCTGGGCTGTAAGTGGCTGGCTTTATCAGTTGCCTCCATGCTGACATCTTCAAACTGCATCTTTACTGTAACCCACAAGCCTGGCCATCAAGTACAGCACCACATTATCCAGGGTCAGGGAATTGTCACATCTGTTCTAAAGGAAGTGTTGACTTAACCCAGCCCAGGAAACTGCCACCAAGAGTAAAAGGTCTCCAGAGATTGTATGGGACCTCTTAAGTTACTTAAACTAACAGTAGGTCTGCAACTTGAGTCACAGTTGATCCCAGTGTTTTACAAGTTTTTATTCATATTCTCTCTCTCTCTCTCTCATGCGGGCACACACACACACACACAGTAGCTATGTGTATCTTTATTTGGAAGCCAAAGAATCTACTTGTATCTTGAAACAATATGTCTTAAGAGACCTTTCTTCAGTCACGATTGAGATGCTATTATAAAAATGTTAAAAATCCATCCTCATTTCTTAGCTGTGTTGGGACACATCTCTGAGGTTCAAGCAGTAGAATCTGAGATGAAAGACATGAATCTGCTTTTCATGATTTTGGTGCATGGAACAGGTAAAATTCACTATCAAGTCAGCATATATGGGTCTCCGAGAGCATATGTGGGTCTCTGATGCATCCAGGTCTCTGATGCAGCTTCCAAAGGAGATTCTACCTGTAATTCCCATTTTTTTCTGACAGAGACTATGACAGTAAGCATCTTAGACTCTCTACACATGGTAGATACTGGGGACTCATATGATAATGATGATAATGTCAAATACATAGTCTCACACACAAAGGATTTATCTATCTTCTTTTTGGTGATTTGAAATCCAGATTACAGTGATTTAAATAGCATAGGAATCAGAAAAGCAAATGCCCTTTAATGATTGATTTCATAGCACTTTATAAGTTCTAATAAATCAGGCTTTCACATTCTGGCTGAGACCTCAGTTGATTTTTTTGAAGGGTGTGGAATATTAGTGCTTTGCCCCACCTTTGTTCTCATACTGATGAGGAGGCCAGGGAATTATTATGGGATAATTCATAACAGTTCATATCAAGATAAATAATTCCTTGCACTAGCATTGTCTCTCCATTCCAATATTTGAAGTTGTTTTCCCTGTTTGTTTGCATTTTGAGGATGAAATCTGCTGTTTAGTTGCAAAGTCATGTCTGACTCTTTTGTGACCCCCATGGCCTGTGGCCCACCAGTCTCCTCTGTCCATGGGATTTTACAGGCAAGAATACTGGAGTGGATTGCCATTTCCTTTTCCAGGGTATCTTCCCAATAGTGCCAGTGGTAAAGAACCCACGTGCCAGTACAGGAGACGTAAGAAATGCAAGTTCGTTCTGAGTTGGGAAGATCCCCTGGAGGAGGGCCCAGCAGCCCACTCCAGTATTGCTGCCAGGAGAATCCCATGGACAGAGGGGCCTGGGGGGCTGAAGTCCGTAGAGTCACAGAGTCAGACACGACTGAAGTGACTAGCATGAATGCGTGCATTACACATCTTCATCATTTGTTCTCTCTTGAGTAGTTTGACGGAAATTTCCCGCATGTTCATACAAGATCCTCAGTCTTTTCTGCTCCTGTGCGTCTATCTTTAATTCTCTTCTTTGCTGGGGCTTTTGTCTGAAATGCTGTGAAAAGGCTGGCGCTCGTTACGTGACTATGTAATTCGATACATCCCATGTTGGGTCTGAAAACTATGTTCTACACATAAATGACTTTTCCCTTCTTCCCAGCAGGAAAATTGCAAGGATTCCAGTAGCTAATTTTGAGATGTATAGAGCCAGCTCAGTAAACATTTGTTAAAAATTTAACTTTGAGTCCTATGCTTTCTTTTGTTGAAGTGCATTTATGAGAACATGCTCATATCAGAATAGTTTCTTTGTGTGTATGCACTTTTTTTTAAGGACACTTAATAGTATGCCTGTTGCTTAAATGAGAAGCTTATTGTGTAGATTCTCTGAGAACTGAGTATTTGAAAATCAAATTCCAGCTCTCCAAGTATTTGATGAAACATGGTAAATTATTTTAACAAATATTTGTGTCTCTGGAGTTGCCATTACTCTGATTTTCTTGGCTTGCTCTCTTTTGATCTTAGATGGACCTTACCTTTCTCCTCTTCCCCACCACATCTTTCTCTGCACGTTCTTTTCATATTCATCTCCACACCTTCTGTCTGCCTTTCCAACTAGTAGCCAGACCCTTCTTTGCTTACCAGTCTACTACTCTGGGAACTCTGACGGTAGCAATTAAAATACATAACACTTCCCTTTCCTACATTAAAAAGCAGTAAAACCTTCATGTGAAATAACTAAGGGGACATATATAGGAGGAGGAGGGGTTCTTGCTCCTGCAGGCACCTTGCAGTGGGGACTATTTTTCTTATATGATATAAATGAAATCTTCACTCTGCCCACTGGTACACCTACGCATGTACTGAGCGTCTCCAAGGAGACAAGGAAACCCGGAGTCCAGTGATGGTGAATCCTCCTCAGAGACAGCAGGCTGGAGTCTCAGGCAACTCTCCCAGGCGTCTTGGCTTCCAGATGCCCCTCTCAGACAGCCTCTCTTCCTGAGGCTCTTGCAGGCAGTCTTTCTCGAACATGTCTCTCCCTTCCCAGACGCAGTAGCCCGTCCACTCCATCCGAAGGGCTGGTTGTGGTGAGTTCACTAGATGGAAGGCTGCTGAAGGGACAGTAAGGGTGGGTGCAGTAGGGAGCTGGGACAGGAGGGGTCCACCTTTCCCAGGATCTTTTCTTTGTCAGCCATTGATTTATCTGTGCTTCCATTTCATTGCCTCCCTCTGCACATCTTAGACACAAAGGCACTGTACAACCTTCCGTAGCATCTTAAAAATATTTTTTATGACCACACTACAGTCATAAACTCCATGTAGTGAGATTGTCCTTTGAGAAGAAGTACTCCTCTTGCTGATTAAACATTTTTAGTAATCTTTTCATGAGCATATACCCCGACCACTTGCATTGCCCCTCCCCTGAGTTGACTTCATGGGAAGTCCCACACCATCTTGCATTCCCCCACTGCACCCTGTGTCACTCTAACTTTTCTTGGAACTGTAAACACTGTTTTCTTATGTAAATGACATCTATTCCTCTTTGAAAAATGTACTCCCATCATAAGCCCATTTTTCACACTTTCTAAGATGATAGTGTCAGATCTTTTTGATACGTGGACCACATCTGTGTGTGAATCTTCCAGGCACAAATAATTATCATGTAGAAATGATTATTGATGTAATCCCCAGTGAATCTTGTCCTCTCTCTAAACTCCAAGCATATCATTTGACAGACCTTCTCAACATCTTGTGCATGCTCATATTCTTGGTTCTCAGCTGAATTGACTGGGATGGCCTAACTTGCCATGTGATTTTCTAGCAAAAGGTCTGCAAACTTTTGGTTTCTGTTGCCAGTCCTGCTGTCCTCTTTGGAAAGATGGAGCTAGATGTTATTCCTAATAAATCCTTTGTCAATGAAAGACCTCACAAAGGTTTATTTGTGATGTATTTTTCTTTTTTTATTTGAGCTTTTTTTTTTTTTAATAGTACCTGTTTTGTTTGTTTGTTTGTTTTAGTTTTTGGCCACATAGCATGTGGGATCTTAGTTTCTTGTGCAGGGATCTAACCCATGCCCCTTGCAGCGGAAGCATGGAGTCTTAATCACCGGACCACCAGAGAAGTCCCTTTATTTGAACTTTAGAAAAGATTGCTCAGTCATGTATTCTGCCCTGTGGAGGAATCTCCTTTTTTCCCTCTGGCATTAGCTCCAATTGCTAGCACCTCCCCAGTTTCTACCTTTAAGTAAAAACTAGCCCATGATATACACTCAAAAGACCCATTTGTTTTCAGCACAATTTTGTTCACAGGTGTATAAGGTACCTTTTGAGCTGACTTAGAGGTCAGACTGGCTTAAGTTTTTTTCTTACATAGTCCATCAAGGTCACCTCGTTTTGATCTTCCTTCACAAATACCTTTATCTGCAGGGTGGTCCACCACTTACTTAGCTTTTCCTTTTTATTTGGACTCAGATGGGGTGAAAGTATTTACTTTCAACTTGAGTTCCCAAGCTCCCTCAAGAAGAATTGGAGGAGGAGGAAGGTACCTTTGAAAAGAGCCCTTTAGTGTCTCTGAAATTCCTGACTTTGCCCTACTCCTTTGTGGCGTCTCTTTGCCCCTCTTTCCTCCACGTCCCAAGCATTAACACTCTACATTGCATGTCAGATTTATGGTATTAATCAAATGTCTGTGCAGGTGGATTGCTATGCCCAAGGAATTGTGGATGAAATTGGCAAACTCCAAGAAAATGTATCCAAATTCTGCAAAGTTTTGCAACTTAGACTGATGGGATGTTTGATTTGCTGTTTTATTTGCCAGGAAATGGAAGAGTCAAGATCTCATCCTCATGTGTCCTTCCTGGAATCCCTTTTTGTGAAGGAGACCCTGAACCTGTGTAGTAACGTGAATGTTTTCCTTTTATTTTTCCTTCCAGGCACTTCAAGTGGCAAGACAGCTTCTTCTCCATCAGCAACAGCAGCAGCAAGTTAGTGGGTTAAAGTCTCCCAAGAGGAATGACAAGCAGCCAGCCCTTCAGGTAAGTAAAAGTCTTATTTTTTTTTAAGTTGATGTTCTACCCTTTGGGATAGCTGATAAACCATTCAGAAGTGTATTGTGTTGAGAATTGCAAATCATGTAAGGAAATCTTCTGCAAAGGAAAAGTGTGTTTTTGTGTGTGTTTGTTAAACAGTAGAGCATGACACTTTGGAAAGAAAAATGTCTGTTCAACCAACAGTTTTTTTGTTGGGAGTAAGAAAATCTAATGAGATAATTTAATCGATGGCTGAGTAGTTGTTGGCATGGGTGGCTTACCAGTGGGGAAAAGTTCCTAGTACTCACATATGTCACTCATTCTCTCGTGATCTGTCTAGAACTGGGACACACACGCATGTTGCTTCAGTGCAGTGGTTTTCAACTGGAGTGCTTTTACCCCTCAAAGGACAGTGGGCAGCATCTAGAGACATTTTTTTTTTTTCCACATCTTGGGGGGGAATGGGTGCTGCTGGCATCCCAGGAGGGAGAGGCTGAAAGTACTGGTAAACCTCCTGCAATGTAGAGGACAGCCTCCTATAAGAGAAAACTAGTCAGTAGTTAATATTGTCAAGAACTTATTTGGCTTGAGGAAGACAGAGTATTTTCGATACACCTAGTAATGAGTGTAATACATCCTCTGTTCTTCCGTGGATGTTTCTCAGACATTTCTAAATTATTAGTAAAAATCAGCAAGCAGTCTGTATGTAAAGACTAGCAGCTTCTCATTTCAGAAGCTTTAAGGACAGGAGTTAGCAGAGTGGAAGGAGTGAGTTCACAAATATCTTCTTTCCGTCTTTGACTTGAAGCAGAAACTGGTCATAGACATTAGAGAAACTTAACTCGGAGTATCTGTGCTCACATGCAGGACAGGGAAGATGCTTGCAAATACCAGGCAGCTCAACACTACTTTCAGAGTTAAGAGTGGGCAGCCCCCGAAATGGGAAGCAGTATTGAGTTTCCCACACTGAACATTCTGGAAAAGAATTTACAAGTGGGAGCTGGTGGGTATAACTTGATTCTGATTAAGATGACCACAAGGTCAACCCAGAATCTAGCTTGGGTTGACTTTTTTCAGATCAGAGAGAACCAGTGTACCAGTCCCTAAATTATCCTACAAAGATCAAACTTGACCTTGGACCACACGTTCTAGTTCTTCTACATCTGCCTGTAAATTGTCCCTGTCTAGGGCACATTCAGCATGATGTAGAGGCACTTTCTTGGCACAGTTGAATCACAGTGTGCATTGATTCCTAACACTTCTGAAAGCAGTGGTTTGGAGAACCACCGCCAACCCATATGCCTTTTCGTGAGTATGAATGCCGGGGACATTTTTAATGAGGTCCAGTGCCACTGAGGCCCCATGTCAGGTGCTATAAGCAGTGCTTTGTTGTGCCGATGTCTTAAGAACAGCTCTGGAGGATGAAATATGACTGTGTTGACCTTTCAGCTGTGAGCTTATTTGTCAGGATTCAAATAAGTTGAAAGGATCAAACTGAACAGTTTCCGTAGTCAGACTGGGAATTGTGTTTCAGAGGTCAGCAGTGGAGGCCACATTGCAGATTCCAGAACATAGCCAATTGTTGGTACATATTAAAGTACTGGGGCATCTCCTGCAGACAGAGACACAATTAAAATTCTAATTTATTAATGTATACAGGGAGCTTGCCCAGCCTGTCACTCAGTGATTCAAATGACTGTCCATTCTTTCTGCCTCCCCCTCAGAGCTCTCACAGCCTTAAAAATACTATGACTCCTCTTGAATTTATCAGACCTCGAATGCATTGGGAAAATAACAATATATTATTGTGGGGGGGGGCACAAAATTTTATATACAGTAGTGTTTTGGTTGGAGATCATTTTAAAAAGGACACACAAAAATGGTCTGATGAACTGCTCTTAAGTGTTGAGTTGTATTTTTTTAGACCAGGCTTATTTTCTATTTACTTTTTTTTTTATTACATAAGGCCTTTTTAGATGAGCAAAGGGCAAGGTGAATGAAGTTCCTTTAGGGCTAAATATATGAAGTCAAGTTTTAGGGGATTTCCTTTGGAGGACATTTTCCCCTTCTTGCCTGTTGCAAGGTTTTTAGCCCCCAGGAGAGTGTGACACAGAGAGCTTTGTTTTTCTTGGCAAGGGACAGCATCAAAACCAGCCTAACACATTCTGCTGAGCGCTTCAGTCTGTAGGCAAAGCGCGGGACAAGGGGGCCATGTTGGATGCCGAATTAGCTAAAGACGATGTTTTGAGCCCTTTCCTGCCCCTTCAGTGGAAGAACTGACAAGCAAAGAATTTAGACCAATTTTAAGAGTTGATTCGGGGGGAGGGGTTGACCTGTGTGTGTGTACACACCTGTGCATAATAGTCTGTGTCTCCTCAGCTGCCTGGTAGGGTCATGCAGATTCACGTGGTTTTATTCGATTGCCTGGCCTTCCACAAACAGGAAGAATTTTTACTAACCAAGGCCACGTGGCATGTTACCTTGCTGTAAAAATACATATGTAGACTTGGTGATTCATGGAAGGAATAACCTTCACATTCAAATATGTCTTGCCGAGCCATGTCCTTGCTGGGGCATCTCAGCCAGAGTGGCTCTGACATGAAAGGGAAATCCTGCAGCAGATCTTAACAGTACTCCTCTCTGATCTCTTTACCCTTCCTACCTAGACCTATTTCAGTGAATTTCAGATCTTCCACACAGAGGAAGGCTTGACAGGGAAGAAGGATTTTATCTGCTGATAGCTTGAGGAAAAAAAAGAGAGAAACCCAAATCCCCAAATATACTGTGACTCATATTTTAAGCAAATCTCACACTTCCCTGCTTTATGTTTGGCAGCGCTCTCCAGTTTCACAGGCTGACGATACAAACAAAAGAAAATGGAAAGTTAAGAGGAGGTTATAAGTGGTTACTCGACAGAGATCACAAAATGTAGTCAAACATCATTGATTTGGACTAATTTCAGCAAAATGAGAGTAAATAAGCGAGACATGACACTCTTTGCAGATACACGTACTGAACTAAATCTGAGCTGGTCGTGTTCTTGGGTGACATTGTAGTTTATCGTGAAGACATGAATCGCGTACAGATACTGCTTCTGAAGTTCTGGAAAAATATTCTACTTAGGAACCTAAATAGCTCCTTATTTGGTCTATTAATTTGCTTTGCAAATTTTTTTATGAATGGTATGAGTGAAAATTGGAAATTGTCCCCATCATAAATTCAGCCTCAGAAGGATCTGAATTAATTAAATGCAACTCAGCGAATGTTAGTGAAACAGCTACAACTTGTGGGACATCAGGCTGGTGATCAGAGATGCAGACCTGTCTAGGAGACAGACCCTGCCTGCAGGATGCTTTTGAACTGTGAAAGAATTAACCGGGTTTTGCCGCAAGAAGAAAATTGTATGTGAGTAAAAATAGAAGGCTTGCTTTTATAAATATTTATCTACTTCTGAAGACTGCTAAAACAAGTGAAATAAATGCTTAACAGCGCAGGTGTGCTCATAACCTCGAAAATGTGTAATTTTACTGGCTGAAGATTAATTTGTGAGTAGATGAGCAATTTTATTGATCACATTTTGGAACTTTGACCACCGTTTCTGGGTAGTAATTCATTTGGGTTCTTTAAGCATTTTAGTTGTTGGCACGAGGACATAAACTGGAAGGAAATCAAATGACACATTTTCTCCTAAGAAAGTAAAAGTACATGTGTATTCTGGCAACATTCACATTAAGAAAGAAAGTAAACCTTGTGTGTTGCTTACCGTGGAGAGCTGACCACAGTTTCAGGCCATGTATAAAGAACTTGAACTTGAAACCAGTTGTCTGATAGTTTTCTCTCTTGCCCATCCCCTCCTTCCAAGTTTATCTCATATGCCGGCCTTTCACTGGAAATAGGGCTGGTGGAATCAACTGGAAGGTCAGCCTTTTCATCCCTTTGGAAGCTCAGGATTGTAATGAGGACTCTGGCTTTTAAGTGGAGGAGGTTAAAATGCAAGATTCAGCAGGTGTTTTTTTAGCATTTTTATTTGCAGTTATATAAAACGTGCTTTAGGCAGCATTTTGCTTGGCATTAATGTCACATATAATCTTAGTACCTCATATCATTTCCACGTTATTCACTGAGGAATAAATTGGTAAGAGGAAACCTTTAAAGGAAACTACGATTTTATGTGGTAGATAGTGAAATGGAGTGGTTTTGAAATACTGACCCTTAAAAAGTATGCCTATGCAATGAATTAGTAAAGCGCATAATTCAGGAGAGGGAGGCAAATTTTTTTTTTAATGTCTGGAGTTTTCACTGTCTAGAATTGTTATCCCTGGCAGGAGATTGACAGGAAGTGTTGAAATTTTGTTACCTTTTAAGATTTTGTTATTACCACATGACTTTGGAGAATCCTCAAACCCCCAAAAATAGGTTGTGATAAGAAACAATAAAGTAGAAAAGGTGTTTTTAAAAAGTTATTGATTCTTTCAGATTATGTACACCTTTGAAAATATGATAGAAACAGGGCCCCTTTCTAGAAAAATGCACATGCACACAGAATTTGCATCATTACCAAGGTTTCATAAAGTTCAAGAAGTTTATCTGTTTGCCAAGGTTCGGTTATCTTGCTGGGAAACAATTTTTTTTTTTCCAAAATAGTGTTTTGTCCTTGGCCCCAAACCTCATGTGAGTTTTATTATAATGGGTTCCTTCATTTTTGCTATTTGAACTTCAGCTGTATATAAGGTGACCCTGTGTCTGTCCAGAAGGGCCCTAGTCTATGCCTGTTGACTGAGTGGATTTGTTAACAACTCTGACTCTTGAAACTATCCCAGTTTGTTCATTTAACTGTATGATACTTGCTTACATGTATCTGAGCGTTAAAATGTGTCATGCTAATATTTGAAGTGTAACTGTATCTTTGTCACCACATGCATATGTTTCCATATGCAAAGATAATTACGGTTCATGAACTAGCTCCATAGCTATTTTGTAGCGTAGGGAGTATCATGAAACCATTC